TTGAATCAGACTCTCCATTGACATCATGGGTGCGTCTGATTCACAAATTGTTGGTCTTTTGTCTTGTATGTTAAAAAACAAAAACAAAACTTTGCTAAAGGATATGCTGTTTGGGATTATGGTGTAACACTGTCCCCCAAAAGATTATAATACTCTGTGTAGCACGGCCTGTTTTGGTAACCAGTGGCCCTCCTGTGGTAGCCTTGATCCAGATTTAATACAGCAGGTTCACATTGTTATAACTAGTATGCTGGGACTTTATGATAAGTTTCTGTATATAGATTGTTGGAGGCAAATTGTTGGGAAAACAGGCCTCAACTCAACCTAGTTTGGACACCACCCTTGAATCTGATCTCCCTTTACCAACCCCCTACTCTTCCCCCCAAGCTAGATCTGGTGCCCCCTGCCCCATTGTCTCCACCTACCCTCTCACCCACCTTAGATACCGGTTCATCTGTCCTATACACACTATATATATATATATATACACTATACTGTGCCTACCTCCACTGTTTTTTTGTATCATGAACTGACTCCCTTTTTGGTAGGAGTGTATTTTAGCATATTTTATAATTGTTCAATTTTATTATTAACAGACAAAATTGTGAGGAGAATTCTTAACAACAGTAACGGAGTCCATTAGACCAGCTAATTCTCAGCAATGACATTGTACCATAATCACTGACATAGCACTATAACTACTGAGCCCTGTGTGCCTTCAGTAACAGTAACTGAGTCTAAAATACAACTGGAAGAAATGATCAATGGTATAAAATGCTGGAACACACTTTTGCCCTTTTTAGTTACTGGTCAGGCTCCTCCCAGCCCTGTCCAAAATATTTTTTTTAACGTAATTACTGACCAACATAATGTAGACCCTGAATGTGAATATGTTCCTTTTACTACAACCGACTTATTTATTTGGAAAACCCATAACCCATCATACACAGAAAAACCACAAGCTATGACTGATTTGGTCACATCGATCATACAAACCTACAACCCTACTTGGGCTGATTGTCAACAGTTACTATTGACTATTTACTTCTGAGGAAAGGACCCATATTAACCAAGTGGCCCTTAAAGCTCTTGAGGAGACTGCCCATACCCAAAACCAAGCAAATCCAGCAGCTTGGGCTACTGCCCAATTCCCCAATATGGATTCTGATTGCTGATATGGTTCATTTAAAAGCTTACCAACAGGCATGAAGGCAGGTGGGAAAAAGGCTATAAACATGTCAAGAACAGCTGAAGTATTACAAAAAACTGAGGAAATTGCAAAAGTTAGAGGGATTTGCAAGGATGTCCATAACACTGCTAATGGAAGTCGCAAACAGGGTTTATATGAATAGGGAAGTGTGAGGAGGAACGCAGAATGAAAAAGAGTGGATATGCTAGCTGTAGCAATTACAGGAGTAGGCAGACAAAGGGAAGGTGAGATTAGGAATGACAGACCACAGTTAGGTGGAAATCAATGTGCGTATTGCAGAGATGAAGGACATTGGAAAGGTAAATGCCAAATGAGGGAATATAAAGCAAGTTTTAGAAGAGGAAACTGGCTGATACAGTCATGGAGGACTATTGATACAGACCGGTCTCCATCACCCTTGGCCGAGTGGAGCCTATTATCAAAGTAACAATAGGGGAAAGAAAACTCCCTTCATGATTGATACGGGTGCTGAACACTCTGTTGTTTTTTTTTGTTTAAAGGGAAACTCCAGTGCCAGGAAAACAATCAGTTTTCCTGGCACTGCAGGTACCCTCTCCCTCCCACCTCCCATCCCCGGTAGCTGAAGGGGTGAAAACTCCTTCAGGTCACTTACCTGAGACCCCGCCGATGTCCCTCGCCGGTGGTTTCGGGTCGGCATCGCTCCTCCCAGTAATTACGTCAGCCGGTGGGTGAGACTGATCCCGCCCGCCGGCTGAGGAAACCTAATGCCGCGCATTCAATGCTTTCATATCGGGAATTGAGCGACGCTGGAGGTCCTCACACAGCGTGAGGACGTCCAGAGACGCTCTAGCAAAGAAAATCTTTGCTATGAAGCAGGAAGTGCCCTCTAGTGGCTGTCTATTAGACAGCCACTAGAGGTGGAGTTAACCCTGCAATGTAATTATTGCAGTTTATAAAAAACTGCAATAATTACAGTTGCAGGGTTAAGAGTAGTGGGAGTTGGCACCCAGACCACTCCAATGGGCAGAAGTGGTCTGGGTGCCTGGAGTGTCCCTTTAATTGCAATTTTATTGGCTTATATCAAAGGAATTGGGGTACAGAAAGAGAAGAAGGAGGGGGGTTCGTCGAGAGGGGAGGGATCACAACAGGCATAAAGCAACAGATTTACATGATGTATTGTTACATTGTATAATCAACACATGGTAGTTACAATACTTTTTTGGTTCTTCCCTTAACTCCTGTGGAGCAACTATCTTCTCCTAACCTCTCTGAATCCCTCTAAGGATTATGCCCCTTGGGTTCTGGGTATGTGATGTAAACTGTGTAGTTTAGCTCCTTGGGTCCCCCACTGGGATTTTCAGGAGTTCTGGAGTACCAAGTGATCTGTATTTTAGTCTCCCCCTTTCTCGACAATGAGGCCTCGAGGCTGAGGGTTATAACTGGGCATTGGTACAGAGGATGGGTGGGGGTCAGTGTCCCATAGATTCCCTATAGTCTTGAGAAGCTAATGGAAGCTGCCATAGGTTTTGTTAGGATGTATTTCCAATCGGTGGATGTCATGTGTACGTGTAGCCCTTTCATTAACCTCCGTTGGAAGGGAAGAGTCTCCTGGTCCCCTTGGGAGGATAGAAGCAATTTGTATACTTGGGAAAGTGTGCGTTTGTGCGCTGATTTGGCATTGCAAAATCGCTCAAATTGGGTTAGAGATCTAGGGCTCCAGTTGGGTAACACTGTGCTTTGCAAAAAAGTGGCATATGTGCACGCATCTTAGTGTTTCAGTGAGCAAACCCTGACCCCCAGGCTCCTGTAGGGTTTTGATTGGGAGGGGTGTCTGTTGTCACTAAATCACTTATGAGTGGGTCCGTTTTCCTTAGTATTTTGGAGCTCCCCTACCCCCTAGTATGTCTGGATTGTTTGCCAGTGGGTAGAGCGGGGAGATTCCTGGGGATAGGCCCCATGAGGTTTTGTGTAGTCTCCATTTCTTTAGAATGTGGTGAATAAGTGGGTGTGGAATTTTTTTGATTTTTTGCAGGTGGCACGTCTGCCAGGGTAGGGTGGGCAACGGGACCGTGGAAAAGCTTTGCTCTAGGTCACACCATGCTTTTTTATGGTGTGTGTCCGTCCACTCTCTCACTCCAGTGAGGAGGACCGCTATGTAATATTTATACATATGAGGTAGGCCTAAGCCCCCTCCTTTCCTGTTTTTTGTGAGGACGTCATATGCTAGTCTTGATTTTTATGTCCCCACACGTAGGATAGAAAGGTTTTCTTCATCGTACGGAAGAAGGTATTGTCTATGTCCAGTGGTAGGGTTTGAAAAAGATAGAGAATATTTGGCAGTATCATCTTGATGATGTTGACCCTCCCAAAGAGAGAGAAGTGGGGTTTGTCCCATTGTTTTAGTTTGGACGTAATGTCATTTAATAGGGGTATGTAATTCATTTTATAAAAGCCTTTAATTGTGGATGTTAATTTAATGCCTAGGTAGGAAAGGACTGATTCGGTCCATTTATAGCTATATGAGTTGCTGATTTGTGCCTTTTGCATCGCGCTCAACCCCAAGCCCATTATTTCACATTTATCTGCATTGATTTTGAAGTTAGAACAGGCACTAAACTGGTCTATCTCCTTCTTAACATGTGAGGGATTGTTCCGGGCTAGTGATGGTGAGGAGTACATCGTCCGCGAAGGTAGACACTTTGATCTCCTTTCCCCCGGCTCCGAAGCCCGTGATGTTATTGTTAGTTCTGATAGCATTGAGGAAGGGCTCCATGACCAATACAAAAAGTAGGGGTGATAAGGGGCATCCCTGCCTGGTGCCATTGCTAATGAGGAACGACCGATAAGAGCATCGACCGATAAGAGCAGTGTGGGGGTTCTTGAAGATATTGCGCCGTGCATGATGTTTAGGAGTCGGGTCGTGTTATCCCAGGCCTCTCTACCCAGTATGAATCCCGCCTGATCGGCGTGGATCATGTCAGGGAGAAGTGGTTTGATCCTGTTGGCCAGGATTTTAGCAAACATTTTTAGATCTAGGTTGATTAAGGATTTTGGCCTATAGCTACTACATATGCTTGGATCTTTACCAGGTTTTGGGAGAACAGTGATCGAGGCCTTCAGCATGGGTGGTGGGATAACATCATTGAGTAATGAGGACTTCTAGGTATCTTGGAGCTAATATGTGTTGGAAGGCCTGATAGTATCTGGCCGTAAGTCCATCTGGACCTGGGCTTTTGCCTTTGGGGAGAGTTGTTATTGTAACTTGGAGTTCCTCAGGCTGAATAGATGATTCTAAGTGTGCAGTTTGTTGTGGGTCTAATTTCTTGTGGGTGTGGGCTGAAATGTATGCTGCAATGTTATGTTGGGTGCTCTCTGGACATCCCAGGTTATAGAGGTCACTGTAATAGTTTTGGAAGGTTTTGGCTATGTCCTCTGTCGTGTCTTGGCATGTCCCACCCTTTGTCATAATGTGAGAGATGTATGTCTTTTGGTGTTTGTCCTTTAGAGCTCTGGCCAGATATTTCCCACTTTTATTGCCGTGAGCGTAATATGTCCCCCTAGTCAGCTGGGCTGCCCTATGCGCTTTCACGATAAGGAGGTTTCGCAGTTCTATTCGGAGTGCTGTTAATGTTTTGTATGCTTCGGGTGTAGGGTTAGATTTGTGGTTAGACTCTGCTGTGGATATAGCTTCAGTGAGAGATCGGATTTGTGCCGCTCTTTCCTTTTTGATACGTGCTCCCCATTTAATCAGGATCCCTCGGGTTATGCCTTTGTGTGCTTCCCATACCCAGGATTCTGCTGTGCCTTTATCTATATTTTCTAAAAAGTACCTGGGTAGAGCGCTATTCAAATCCTCCATTACCCTGGGGTCATCAAGTAGTGATTAATTTAAGCGCTATGAGTTGCTAATGGCACTCTTCTCTTCAAGGGACAGCGTAAGGAATATTGGGGCATGGTCCGACCATGTGATCGGTCCAATGGACGAATGAACTAGTGTGTGCAGGTGTCTATGTCCTATCAAGAACATATTCAGTCTAGAGTAACTATGTGCTACCTGGGAGAAGTATGTGTAATCCCTTTCCTGGGGGTAGGCAATCCTCCAGCAGTCTACTAGTTGATTGGCATGTAGGGCTCTTTGAAATAGTAGACACTGGTGTGCTTGCGTGTCTCTGCCTGTCGCTGAACTGTCTGTTGAGTGATGTAAGTTCCAGTCGCCCCCAATCACTACCATACCCTCTGCAAAATTCTCTAGTTTTCTGAGGCATGATTTGATGAATGGGACTTGCCTGTTGTTGGATGCATAAACGTTTACTAGGGTAATGAGTGTATTGTTAAGTTTGCCTTTGAGGAATATGTACCTTCCCTGTGGGTCTAGTTTACTGTCTTGGAGCATGAATGCTCTTCTGGATGATAACAGGATAGCGACCCCTCTAGATTTGCCTCCATGAGAATTGTTAAAGTATGGGGGTCTGATCCCCTGTAAAATGTGTTTCCTGGAGGAATACTATATCCACCTGCTGACTGTCCAATTCATGCGCTAGTACTGTGCGTTTTTCGGGTGCGTTAAGTCCCTGTACGTTCAAGGACATGAGTTTAAGATTATCCATCATAAAATGGCCAGAGGTAGGGGCATCTTGGACTTAAATGATACGGTGAGTACCTATACCCAATGGGGGGAGGATTTGGGGGGGAAAAACGTAAACCAGGAAAATTATATATGGTGTGCATGCTGTAACCAGATGGTGTCAAGCCCGCTGTGGATCATGTGGATCCTGCGTGCTCTTTGTGGCACCGCTTGGGGGGTTGTGTGGTCTAGACCCGTCGAGACTCTAGGCCTTCTACATGTTTTATACATAAAATGTAAATATTTAGCATTCTAACATTAGCATATTCTAACATAACTTAGAACTGATAATGGCATATAACTATGAATCGAATCCCAGTTCCAGCGTGTACAGGGTTTCGGATGCCCTCTAGTTGTCTGGGCCCCGGCCACGTGGAACTATGACAGTAGGTTAAACATTAAATATATAGAGATATATAGATATAGACATGGCATTAAATAGGCGTAAATATGGCAAACGCCTCTGTGACTCAGCTATGTTTAGCAGATTAAAAGGTTATATTGAGTCTTTTAGGTCGGTTTTGTAGCAGTGACTTTTGGTGTTGAGGGCAGTTCATTTCGCGAGGGGGTTCGCCTCCTTCGCTTTTTGGGAGTGCGTTGCCATTTGGCCCTTTGGGGTAGTTGCTTGTCTTGTTCCATGTAAAGACCAGTCCAGTCTTCCACCGTGTCTGTGGGTATGTCTAAGGCTGGTTGAAATGTCGGGACGTCTGCTGGTGTAGAGATTGAGTGTGTCTTCCCTTGGCGGTTCACCACTAAAGCGAAAGGGTATGCCCAGCAGAATCGTATGTTGCGGTCTGAGAGCACCTTCGTGATCGGGCGCAGTGCTCTTCTCGCGATAAGTGTGGATTGCGCCAGGCCCTGAAATATCTGCACTTTACAGTCGCCAAATGTAATGTCTCTAATTTGCTTGGCCTTTTGCAGTATTGTCTCTTTGAGGGGGAAATGATGAAGCCTGCAGATAATGTCCCTTGGTTTCTCATTAGTTAGTGCTCTCGGCCTAATCGCTCTATGAGCGCGGTCAAACTTGATGGGTGTATCTAGTGGCCTGCCCAGCAGCTGATTAAAGAGATTTGTGAGGGTTTGTGGGATATTTTCACTTGTTCCTTCAGGGGTCTCAGGAACGCCTCTAATTTTGAGGTTGTTGCACCTTCCCCTATTGTCTAGGTCCTCTATAGGGCCTCGTTTTGGGTTTGTTGGAGAGTTTGTATGTTATGCAATTGTAGGGCTGTTTCCTCCTCCTCTTCTAGTGTTTGCACCCTATTGCCAGTGTGGCTTACCTCCTCACGGAGAGATTGTAGCTTGGCGCCAAAGCTCCTTTCCATTTTGGAGAACATAGCCTCGAGGTCAAGTTTGGAGGGTAGCTGAGCTAGGATGGTTTTAATATCTGCTCCTTCTGTGGAGCTGTCCGAGGGAGCAGGGCTGGCTGGCGCGCTGCTCGCGAGAGATTTCTCAGCCGCAGCCATTTTGTGAAGAATCTCCTCAGGGAAGTCTTGGAGGAGGTGAGGGTGGAGGAGGGAATGCTGCCTGTTTGTGTCTTCGATCTTTTGGTTGCCAGGTCTCTAAAACTGCCGGGATTCTTGCTATTTAGGCCTGTCTCAAGCGCTCGGCTCTCATGCGGCCATTCACTGCCGTGTCCAAGCCACGCCCCCTGAACAATCTGTTGTGACCAAATTAGTAGCCCCTCCCTCTGGAAAGTGTCACTGTAATAGGATCTACTGGGAAAGGAGCTATTAGGCTGGTTCTCAGGAGTCGTACTTGCACACTAGGTGGCCATCTTGTTCAGCATCACTTCTTATATATGCCTGAGTGCCAAATTCAACTTCTAGGATGAGATCTATTGTCAAAGTTTCAAGCACAGATAACATTTCTACCCAATGGATCAACGTCCCAGCAGTTTAATAAATCACTGGACACGTTAGCTGTACTGTTGCCAAAAGAAGAAGAAAAGCATCTGTATTCTGCAATGATAACCCCAAACCCAAAGAATGATGGATCATTATTTTACATTTCAGGAGTATGGGCAGAAAATAATCCTCCAGGACTCGCCCGTAATATTCCACCTATACATATTGAATTTGGCGGAAGTGACTCCCTGGATTCATCATTCTAGGGTTAAATCAACAGCAGATTCTTGGCAAGTTACCCCAGATCCTGAGAATCCTTGTAAGATCCGGTTGAAGCGGACTACTTAGTCCCTGAAGTTTGATTAAAGTGACATAAGGAAGTATGAGATGATTTTCAAAAAACGTGGTTGAGAAAGATATCAGAGAGCAGCAAGTAGGTGTTTTGAAGGCATAATAAAGCCTGACCACCTACCAACGTTTCATAGTCAGTGTCTCGCAGGGACCTCTGTGAAGGGAAGAGAGGATCAGACGAACAACATTCCTTGCAGCCCTCACAAGCAGGAAATTGAGGAGCCGTCGCACAGTTGAAAATGTGGATGAAGACTTCCATTATAATGTATTTCTTTGTGTTTTTTTGTGTTTTTATTATATATACGGAATGTAAAGGTGATTATATACAAGGCTGTGAGAGTTGTATTAAGACTACAAAAACAGGTAACCAGATATCCCAAACTCTTATTTGGCACTCACATTATGAATGTAAAGGATCTGTATCTAAATGTAGATACTTAGACACTGATTATAGTGTGTGTCAGCCAGTGTCATGTGAACCAAAGTGCTTTGATCCCCAATTCCAACCCCGTATAATCTGGCTGGTTCTTCGAAATACCTACTTCTCAGGAGGCATTGATAAATAAAACTTTAAGTACTGTAGCGGATGGCACAGGACTGTCCGCCAGGATTCTGTTTAAAAGACTGTTCGTGTGTTTATCTTACTGTATGATTGAAATTGTATGTGGAATTCGTATGTTTGTTTGGTAGTTTCCATTCATATTTCATACGAATGAAAACTACCGAATCAATAGACCACCCCAGAGAGAAGTGTGTACCTCATTAAGGCTTTCACACTTCTCTAACCACAGTTAATCGGTGTTTTATTGCTATATCTGGGTGGCCGCCATTTGGTAAGCAAACACGTGGCGGCTGCCATCTTACGCACGAACTGTCAGCTGTATTTGGTCATCGAGTGTCTGGAACTCAAATCGGACACTCTATTACCTGAACACCGCTGAGACTTCCAGAACTCCCGAACGGAGGGGCCAATCAACCCCTCGTTCGCTGAATTCAATCTAACCAACAAGGGGATTCATGCGAATGCATTATTAGCAATGGATGGCAAAAATTTGTGAATGTCTTACCTCCCAAACGTAGACCGACCGCAGGGCCAAAACACATGGAACCCTTTTCGGCTACCACCTCGTGTGCGGTCGGTCAAATAGTTTATTCCCCATAACTCCCGAACCCCTGGTCTGATCTGGGTGAATTTTGAGTATGTTGGTCACCCAGATCAGGGCTACCAGGGGATGCCACTTAAATCCTTGTATCCCACAATTTTGGGGTACATCCAGAAAACAGGAAAAACTGTACCAGAAATAAGTGGATTAAGTGTCACACTGAGGGGAGGGAATGTATGGGAGGAAACTACTGTACCATTGGTTACTGTCCTAATTATTGTAAATCCCTCCCTTGCATGGGAGAAACCTTTATAAGGAAATGCTGTGATTAAAAGTTAAGTTCTGCTCCTGATGCTGTGTGTCGTCCAGTCATTGGGATTGAGATATTGTTGGAGTATTTTGCCTGCTGGAAATATTACCCTGTGGATTTACAATTAGGGATGTTGCGAACATAAAATTTTCGTTTCGCGAACGGCGAATGCGAACTTGCGTAAATCTTCGCGAACCGGGCAAACCGCCATAGACTTCAATAGGCAGGCAAATTTTAAAACCCACAGGGACTCTTTCTGGCCACAATAGTGATGGAAAAGTTGTTTCAAGGGGACTAACACCTGGACTGTGGCATGCCGGAGGGGGATCCCTGGCAAAACTCCCATGGAAAATTACATAGTTGATGCAGAGTCTGGTTTTAATCCATAAAGGGCATAAATCACCTAACATTCCTAAATTGTTTGGAATAACGTGCTTTAAAACATCAGGTATGATGTATCGATCAGGTAGTATAAGGGTTACGCCCCGTTTAACGCACCACAAACAACCGCAAACTTCCCATTTGCACAAGGTTGGATACCAAGCTAGCCATGTCCCGTTCCTTGTCCTCACTGATGTCATTGAAGTCTCTTCCTCCACCCAACCACGTACAACACCAAGGGTCCCCAAAAGGTGACAAGCCCCCTGGGACGCCTGCTGTGTTTGGTCTTCCACCTCCTCAAAGCCACCTTCCTCCTCTGACTCCTCTTCTTCAGACTCCTCTTTCTGCGTTGCCTCTCTCTGCATTATTATAAGGTGTATTAAGTAGTACTATTCAGTTTAATCCCTGCTACGTCCCCTACC